GGTGGTGCGATTAGTGGGAAAGGAAAGGGGGCAACGGCGGCGGCGATGGTCAGTGACAATGCCCGTCGGAATATGAGAGCAGAGATTACGGAAGAGAGTGACGGTCGGCGTTGGCTTAAGCGTTTTAACGAGCGATTTTTATTTTTTTTTTTCACCTTCAAAACCCCGCCCTTTTTTCAAAGGGTTTTTTTAACATTTTTGATAAAGATATTGGTTAAAATATTTTTTAATTTAATATTTATTTAATTAAAATAATTCATATGATATTTTTTTTGAATAATTTATAATTATTTATATGAGTTAATTAAAAGACGAGAAAAGAGATTACATAAAGTTTAAACATGCAACTTATGGTAAATGATCTTAATTCAGAATTTATGTTATTGAACCGAAATAAATAGTTCAAAATAATTTATATGGTATTAATAATAAAATTAATGTAAATTTTTATGATTTTTTCATGTTCAAAAAAAATTTTATTTTTTTTTATATTCATTAATATAAAAAATATATTAATTATATTTTTAATTTACATTTTAAAAATAAAAAAAGAAAACCGCACGGCGACAAGTTAACTACCGCCTAATTAGTTCAATATTTTTCAAACTGAACCGCTTCGAAGAAATGAAATTAGTAAAATCCACAATGGATTGGGTTGGGGCCCAAATTGAGAAGCTTAAGGTGGCCATTTCCGATGTCATAATTGGGTCAATAATCCATTAAGAATTTGACCCCAACCCAACAGTCAAAATTTCGCCCTTTTCACCAAGAAGAAAGAGTTGTTGTAATGTAAACGCATAGAATTGCAAAACATTAATAATTACTAATTAAGTGTAGTTCAGACTACCAAAACGCAAACACTCAGAACTCTTTCACAAAACCCCTTTAGAAATTAGCCAACCACCATTGTGATTCAGTGCTAACAATTCTTTTAAAAAGGGTGATGATATTTAAAATTTTAAAATTTAAATCTTAATAATTTCATTTTTCATCTTCCAATTGTATTAGTTTAAAAAAAAAAAAAAAAACCCCATAGAAGTTAGATTAGAAGCCAAACCTGAAGTGCCCCCCTCAATATCCATTCTCAGGACATGGAACTCATCAACTTCATAAATTTTCCGTGTAGAGCTTTCATTTTTTCCAAATGTGAGACCAAAAACCAATCTATAAAACCAAGAGTTTGAACGATCTGTCTGTTAGATTCTTGGGAAGTTAACGATTTCAAAGAACTAAAAGGAATTAAAGATGTACAAGACAAAGAAAACCATTCATGAATTAGTTGATGACTATCGAGATCATACAATGTTTTTAAATAGGTTAAATATCTTTTTTGGTCCCTCTATTATAGGAAAAAACTCTTTTTTGGTCCCTGAAAAAAATCCCCTTTTTTAGTTTCTAAATTTTAAAATCTGACCATTTTTTAGTTATTTCGTTAAATTTTTACTGATGTGGCAAGTTAATTAACGAAAAAACTTTTTTTTTTTACTAAATTACGTGAAAAATTCACCTAGTAAAAATTGATGATATGGTTAAATTTTTTGACTTTAATTATTGATTTACCCTCATCTTCTTCCTTATCTCCTCCTTCCTCCAACCTTTTTTTTTTTTTCTTTTACCTCCAAGCAAACCCAGGAGCTTGGGTTCGCGACAAAGGCCTATGGTAGAAAGAAGATAGTGATATTTGGTTTTTCAATCAACCCCAAATGGAATATTAACATAAAATTTGGCATCTAAACATCTAAAAATTGCAAGGCAAATTATTTTAAGGAATAACAGATTTGCCCGTTTGTCTGCTAAAACTGTGCTTCACAAAGGTAACTTCGAAGGAAAATTGTAGAACACATAGTGACTAGATCACAAAAAGTTCAGCATATTATCATTGATCAGAGCATGATAGGAATTTTGTGAAGAAAAACAACTTTAAAATTTGACCATACATTAGAGCAACAACTCAATTTTTTAATTCAAAAGTCTAGGAAGCAAGTTTGTTACCACAAATGGAATAAGCTAAGAAATGCCCACCCCACTTTGTCAAGCAACAATAGTAGTCGGTCTACCCAAAGAAGGGATCAAAAAAAACCTTAATCAAACATTCTAAAATTCTCTAGATATCATCTTCCTTCTTTCAAAATTCTTGTTTTTTTGTTCATAATCAATCCTTTACATGTGAGTTCAATCAAGATAAAATTCTTAGATTTTCAATCCTTTCTTCATTTGTTAACATATGTCATTTATGAACCAACTTATGAAATTCATAGTATCATAATCGCAACAACATGAATCTATCACCAACAATTTCAAACATAAATGCAGAACTTAACATATCTAATTCAAAACCAAACATGAAATTTTAGTTTCAGTTTATTCAACTTAGATACATTCAAAATAAAAAAAGGATCTGAACCCAAAACTGGGTTTCTTGTAGAACTCGAAACTGGGTTCCAAGAGGAATGATTAAGAAGGATGATGAAGAGGATGGCAAAGAGAATGGCAAGGATGAGGAGAAAGAAGAAGATGAACAAATTATAGTTAATTTCGTTTAAATTCATTTAATTTATGAATTAAAAAATAAAATTTTTAATTTGTACATGTGGCACAAAATGCTTACATGTACTTATAATTTTATCCACCTAATTTTCACATCATTTATAATATTAATTATATAAAAAATAATTAAATGATGCCATTAATTAATGTGCCAAATAAGCCAAAATTTAATGGAAGGATAAAAAAGGAACCGGATTTTAAAATTTAAGTATTAAAAAGGGATTTTTTCAGCACACAGACCAAAAAAAGGTTTTTTCTTATAGTAGAGGGACCAAAAAAGATATTTAACATTTTAAATAAGGAAACACATCACATTATCAAACTTTACATTTGGATTTCCCACTAGATAAAAGTCCAAATTCTTAGAATAATCAAAGTTTCAATAGATTTAAATTAAAAAATATATATCTTAGTTTAAAAGTAAGAATAAGATTGTATTAATTAAATTTTTTTTATTAAAACGACATAATTTTAAATATTTTTAAACCTCATTTATTTACAAATTCAACTGATAAATATTAATTTATATATATATACTATCTAGATAGATTCTTCCCCCAGCTCATGACCATTATAGCCATAAGCCAGTTATATCTTCAAGAACCAGTTTCTAAATGAGGAG